CTGTCAAACAATGACATACTGTACTAAAAATACCACAGGCTAAAGACATACTTAGAGTATCATATTTAGCTGGGCCGCTACATGGCTACATTGAGACTAGAAGCCCTTTGGGGAAAGGATATTTCCTTCAGTCATCAGTATAGCATTCAGACTTGTATAAAACTAATACTAAACCTCACCACCAGAGATATGTAATGGTCAACACTAACTCCTTCCCTGCCACCTGGGAGGTGGTGAGCAGCCTGGCCTGGCAGGCCATGGGCATACCTGTGGTGAGAATTTGCCCAAATGTGGCCCTAGAAAAAACTAAATTATCTTAACTTATCAAAACTAAGAGTTATCTTGCTTGTCTGATCTTCCTTTTTATTCACCTTTCCCTCTTCTGTGTTGTCCTTTCACCATACTCTTAGGTTCTTTAGATGTGCTCACCGATCTTGCACTAAGAAATGCTCACAGAAGCATTATTCAAAATAGCAAAAAACATGGAAATATTCCACGTGTCCATTAACAGGAGAGTGGATGAATAATTATCCAATAGAATAATATACAGCAGTCAAAATGAATGATCTTCAGCAACACAATATTAGCAATATAATAAGTGAAAAATCCCAAAGGATTACATATATAGCAGTATGATACTCTTTTTATGAAGTTAAAAAAACTAAAATAAAAAACTATATAAGTAAGTTATTTATAACCACTTAGAGTTCATTTCCTTATCAATAAAAGGGAGAAAAATACCCATCATATAGGACTGCAATTAGAAATAAACAGTAATAATCTTAGATGAAAAGCTTTGTCCCAGTTAAAGGCATTTTACTGATCAGAGAGTAAAGAAAGCAGAGAAATGGGTAATTTCTTGAAGGAGAAGCAGGCCTTCCCTCAATCTTCCCTGAGAGCACATAAAATAGTCACCTAGCAGTCTACCTTTCCATCTACAGTCAGTAGAAACTTTGGAAAATGAGGCTTTGAGAACATAGGCAACATAAAAATTGAGACAAAAGGCATTTAAAAATCCACATGCCTGGAATGTTAAATCACTGATACGAGTATGTTTCAAATAAACTGCAAAATATTTTGATACAGAACATTTCACATTTTGACTGAAAGTTGGAAAGGTTATCAGTGGCCTCCTGAACTGGCGAAGAAATGCTACTCAAAGAAATACATTGTTTGCAAGAAGAGCAACTAGAAAGTGGACACAGAGAGAAGTTAAATGACTTGGCCTGCGGCAGAGTTCATATTCAAATCTAGATTTGTTTTGTCCAAGGCCTGTATACTCCTTTCATATTCCATTCCCTAGCTGTTCTTACTCTTGGGATTCATTTTTCATTCTTCCTTGCCTAGTATCTCATAATTTTACTTTTTAAATTTGAACTGCTGCTGACTTTGTTTTGGTCTTGTTTTTGATTTTATTTTCTCTACCACGGTAATTCATCACTCCCTTAATTGTGGGCATATAGTTTTAAATATCTTTCAAAAGTCTGTATTCCCAACTTTACTAGTTTAGTTTGATGATTTGCTACACCATTTAGAGTTTTAACAGTGTGAAGAGGGAGAACTAACAATCAAAGGAGAATGTTTCTACAGCAGGCCACAGGCAGTATTTTCAGTTCAACTCAACAGCGGGTCCAGGGATCAATTTGACTGTTCTCCTTCCCTTTTCTGAAATAAACTGCTAAGCTATTAATTATGATATGAAATAATAAATTTATGTCTACTAAAAATTCATTCTCCTTGTTTAACTTAATTTTCAGTCTAGGTTTGGCAAGTCTATTTATTAATTATCATTTGAACACATATTTAAAAGCATTTCCTACTTCAAAATGTAGGAAAACAAATAATGTCCAACTCAACTGGAAAATCTCATCAAAAGATGTTATTACTGACAAAGATGAAAAAGATACCAATTGGCATCTGGTAATAAAGAACTATCACCTGCCCAGTCTGATTATTTATACTATTTAATATATTATCTAGGGCCGGCCCTGTGGCTTGGTGGTTAAGTGCGCGCGCTGCGATGCTGGTGGCCCGGGTTCGGAGCCCGGGTGCGCATCGAGGCACCGCTTCTCCGTTCATCCTGAGGCCGAGTCCCACATACAGCAACTAGAAGGATGTGCAGCTACGACATACAACTATCCACTGGGGCTTTGGGGGGAAAAAATAAAATAAATAAAATCTTTAAAAAAAGAAAAAAATATATATATATATTATCTAGAAAAGAAGTTGAAGAGGTAATCCTTGTAGACAGCGCTGGGGAAAAGATGAAGATATCACGACATTCCAAAATCTGTCTCCTGAAAACAATTTTAAAAATATGACACCACCCATATAATTCAACAAAAATCAGAATCCAGTAGGTCTTGAATATCTTAGAATAATTTTATGCAAAACCATCTTTAAGAAGAAAGGATCATTGGATTTTTTTGAGGGTCTGTGCTAGTGGAGATACTAAAGGGAAGGAACTTCTGATTTTAAAAAACAAAAGAAATTCTAACTTTAATATGTTGGCCCAAGCTTAAAGACACTTTTATCTCTATTTACTGTAGATAAGTAATATAACTTCTTAGAAAATCCAGAGGCTGGGGAAACAGAAGAATCTGGGCTATACAAATGATTTGCTAATTTTTTATTGGATAGATCTTTATTTGGATACGATGTGTTCATTTATTCACCAGATATTTATCGAGCACCTGCTATGTGTCAATCAAGATGCCAGGTGTTGTGGACACAATAGTGAACAAAAATAGGCATGGTCTCTGCCATTAAGAAGCTACACAGGTTAGTGGTAGAAGGACAATAATCATACACCTTCAAACATAAATGTAAAAATACAACTATCAGTGCATATAGTACATGCTGCTGTGAACAGAGGTCCCTAGGAAAGAGTGTATTTGACCTAGTCAGGGAAGGTGTTTTGTGAATGTCATGGCTGACATCTAAAGGATATTATCTAGGCCAGTGGTTCTCAATGGCGTTGGTGGTGGTAGTGGGGGTTTACTTGCCATGGGACATTTAGCAATGTCTGGGGACATTTCTGACTGTCACGACTGGGAGACACTACTGGCATGTAGGGAGCAGAGGACAAGGATTCAGCTAAATATCTTACAAGGCACAGGACAGTCCCCCACAACAAAGAACTATCTGACCTAAAATGTCAATAGTGCCAAGGTTGAGAAACCCTGAACCAGGCAAAGGGAAAAGCACAAGCATAAGCAGTGGTGGGAGACTCAGTCAGACAAAACTACAAAAGAGAGATCATACAAGGCTTTATAGACCACGGTAAGGAGTTTTAGCCGTATCCTAAGAATAAAGGAGAAAACAAGTAAAGGGTTTCAAGACGACGAGGAGCTAGGGGGTGAGGATACTGCTGGTGACATGCTCAGATTAAGATTTTTAAAGTTACTAACTGCAGCAAGGCAAACAGATTGGAAGGGAATGAAACTGGATGTGGGTGGATGAGATAGCCAGTTAACTAATCTAACTTCTTAGCAATTCCAAAGGCTGAGGAAATAGAAGGTGGTAGTGGTAAGGATGCCGAAGGAGCTGAAAAACTTCCTTCCATAAATGTTCAGTATGGGAAAAGGAGAAAGGAAGAATGTAGGGTGCTGCGTGCACAGTCACTCCTGCAATATGTAGCTTGGTGTGGTAGTTAGCTCTATGTCCTTCAGAATTTTCTTAAGGTGGAACAGTAATCTCTAAGAACAGATGAAATGTCTTCTTTGTATTTGAAAAATAAGGCACAAGAATATTCCTTCTTTCTTTTTGAATGTGATGTATGGGGACTTATAAACCACTTGATTTGTAAGGATTCAGGCAACAAAAAACTGGAGTAATTAAATTTGAATGTGCAAGCTATATCCATATTTATAATCAGAAGTTTAGGAAGTAATAAAACCAATGACTGGCTCTACTGAGTACATTCTCAAGAACATGTTTTTCCTCAACTATCACATTAAAATCTAAATATAAAATGTTAAAAACTATTTTATCATAAAACATATCATATAAAGATTAAATATAATATATAATGTATGGTTTAAAGAATAATAAAACTAATACTCATGAACTCACTTCTAAGTGACAATTTGTTTTAAACAGCAAAAATTTTCATAAATGTTTTGTTTTACAAATGGCTTTTAAGATAAAGACTTATGTTAAAACTACATCAAGTGCACTTCCAACTTAACACTTTTCTACCACTGGGCAGTTATACTATTAAATGAAAAGAAAACCTCTCATCTGTAAAGACAATAAAAAAAATCATATATTAGAAAAAGTTGCATTTAATATCTTACGGTATTCACATTCCAGTTGACAGTCAATTTGATTAACCAAACAAAATGAGTCTTTCTTTACTGTTTTACCTAAGTGAACTCCACAAATTTGTGACATTATCATTTAAAGCATATCTTAAATCTGGTCTTATTCACTTCTTTAAACACAAAAATAAAAGCTTTGGATAGTTTAGCCTTTTGAAATGGCCTGATTTTTCTCTAGTGAAGTAACAGGTTCCTAACTGACATATTTTGGTAATATTACACCATCTTATCATGCCTTATTTAATGAAATATTAATATTTTATGTAAGATTTGTATTTAAATTAAATGCAACTGTGTATCTGGCATCTGATTTTGGCTAAAAGTCATAGCATTGTACGAAAGCACCATTAAACTGTAATGACACACACATGTCTTTTACATAAAAAGAATTTCTTATTTCTTTGGCAGGGCAACAGTCTCAAACTCCAAATGTTCTTTTAAATCAAGAATTATAAGAATTGATACATGTTTGATTTAAAAATAAACAAGGATAATCTGAGCTTCATCCTCCCCTGCTGTAGGGCAAGAAGGTCTTTTTCAATTTAACTAAAAGGGCAAAAGATTTTTCCTTCTCAAAAAACAGGGCTATCACAAAAATTCTATCCCAATAAAGTCTTACACATTTCCTCCCATTCAAACAGTGATGATATTAATATTAGTCCTTAAACAATTACTCACCCAATGAAGGCCACCATCTGCTCCACTATGTGTTTGCTGAATGTTATTATAACGAAGATTTTCTGTAAAAAAAAACCAGTTAAAATAAATATTTTTCTCATCAAAAAAAAAAAAAACAACATAAATCCACAATTCTGATAATAGTCTAAAAAGATGAGGTGTTGCTCCTAAAGGCAATTTTTAAAATTCTTAAAAAATAAAAAATAAAAAACACCATTTCACTGACAAATGCTACCTACTTTGTATTTTAAAGATGTTTTTCCTTAAGCACAGTTCTAGTCTTACTAGGATACATGACCATGTCTGAGGGAAAAATGTGAGTCATGAAACCCAAGACTGGGTGGACATTCCACATGTTCTATGTATTTTAGAACGGTGTGTACAACTGAAGTCATGGGTTCCCATATAGCCCCCACCACTGAAATTAAAGCTGATCAGCTTGATGACAGGAGTCTGGGCTAAATGTAATCCAGAGGATCTTGCAAAGACTGTACGTCCTTAACGGAAAAGTTTTTTATAGAAATATCATGAAAGTTCCATTCTCAGATCCTGAATGAGCTTGAACTTTCAGGCTTAGGGTACAAGCAAAGGCATCAACAGGTTATTGAGGATCTTTATCAGATCTGAGTCATGTTCTTTCTTTCTTTTTTTTTTTTTGTGAGGAAGATTAGCCCTGAGCTAACATCTGATGCCAATCCTCCTCTTTTTGCTGAGGAAGATTGGCCCTGGGCTAATATCCATGCCCATCTTCGTCTACTTTATATGGGACGCCACCACAGCATGGCTTGACAAGCGGTGCATCGGTGCGCACCCAGGATCCGAACCTGGGAACCCCAGGCCACCGAAGTGCAGTGTGTGCACTTAACCGCTACGCCTCGGGGCCGGCCCAGATCTGGGTCATTTTCCATTTGGTGTTATTGAGGTACACTCCATTAATTAAAGATGTTGATTCCTTACCTTACTTACAAGTAAAGATGCCTTTATGTCCAGTAGGTAGCAAATATTCTCAACTCAATTTAATGAATGTTACAAAAAGTACTTACTATGGATAATATAAGGCATTATTAAGAGTTTTCAGGGACCACAAAGATGGGAAATATATTTCTTCAATGCCCTAAAGAATTTACAAATTTTTCAATACATAGGAGAAAGATAGTTAAGTACAAAAAATAGATATATAAAAAGATAAAACTGTAAATGCCATTAGTGGTAAGAACAATGTGTTACAGAAGTTCAGAGAAAGAAAAGATCACTTAAGTATGATTAATTAGAGATTTAAGAAGACAATATGAAAGTTTAGCTTTAAGGGATTGATAATAATTCTCTGATTAAACATGAGTAATTCTAGATTCTCTCTCCAAATTCCTGATAACAAACTCTTTAGCTCTTTGTTATTGTTTGTTAAATAATAACTTTAGCCTATGTAACCAAATAACAATAGTCTTCTTTTTATTCACCCATTATGAATCTCAGGGAAGTGGCTAATTTAGACTAAAGCTTATTATTTCATGTAGAAGACTAATAAGGCAATGACATTTTCTTAATCGACATCCTAGTGTTAACAGAGACATTGGCAGTTGCACAGCTGGTTTTGTGTAAGGAAATAAGATTGGAAAAAAAAAGTTCATAGTCCTTTTTGGTGTTTGTTTATGCATCTATTAATTTTAAAAAGATACTTACCTGTCTCATGAAAAAAGCGAGCACATTTAGATGTCAAGCAGTTACAAGATGGATGATGATATTATGAACAATGTTACACAAATGGTGTATGAAGCTAATAAGACAATAATTACAGATCATTAGGGAGGAAAACATTAATACATGGGGGTCCTTCTAGTATCCATACTAAAAGCCAGTTAATTGGAGCTAGAAATGTTTACCAAGAAACACAGCTAATGGTTTTGCCTCGCAGTGATTTCACCACCATGAGCTTTCCCTACCATTTCCTAACATTCAAAATAAGCCAATGCTCAGATAATTGCACAATTTCATTGCTTGAAAACAACACAAGACTTTCCTTTTATATGTAACAGCTTGAAAATTTACTGTACTGGGCAAGACATAAATGTGTCAGACATTTAAGAACACACGTCTCAGAGTCATTCAGGATGGAGGTCCGAGTGGGGATTCTACCAAATTAACAAAAGGCACAGACCACCAAACGGCCCACTCAACCATGTGCACAGAGAAAACAAGAGAAAGAGTAGAATAAGAAGAAAAAAAGATATGGGTGTAGGGAACTAATGGTGCCAGAATGAACAAAGAAACTATCTATAAAAGATAGGAACAAAGAAACTATCCTTTCCTTCAATGGAAAGAAGAATCTTAGATTCATTTATTAAATATTTACTGAGTGCCTACTACATGCCAGATGCTATTCTAGGCACTAGAAGACCTCAGTGAGCCAAGAGACAAAAATCTCTGTCCTCATGGAGCTTATATTTCTGTATATGTGTGTGTGGTGGTGGATGGCAAGGTAGAGAGGCAATAAACAATACACATGATAAGTAAATTATATGGTACATGAAATACTATACTTAAGTATGTTGACTTCTCATGTTTTTCATTATTTGGGAGAAAGGCAAGGTTACAGACAGAGGACTTGAACTTGTCCAGTGGAAGGGGAAATCCTGATCTAACATTATTAGCTGGGCTGATTTGAAATTTTTAGGGGAAGTTTAACAGATAGTAAGATATCAATAAAAATAACATTTATCAAGAAGGTTGTCTAGTTTAAGCTGAGGAAAAAGAAAAGAGAACCAGAAGAGGAGATAGATTTACTATTACAGAAAAATGTGTGTAGGGTTTCCCCCCTATTATTTCAGAAATAGTTAAAATGTTTATATTACTCACTAATATTGCTTACCCAAGGAATGAGAAATGTTTGTTGCCCTGAGCTACATCTGGATGTACATCAAGTGACATGCCTTTAGAAAGTATGTCCCTCTGATACAATGGAACATAGCAAACATATCCCATGGTCTCAGTTTAGTGAAGGAACTCAGATTCTTTCCTTTTAGAAACACAGATGGATTTTAGCTTTCTTTTTTTATTTCCACACAGATACAGGATATGAGCTTTGACTTTCTAGAGCTTGGTTTGAATTCCAGGGTCTTAGGCATGTATTTTATCTTCTTTAACACTCAGTTCCCCCATCTATGACATATGGATAATAACCACCTCACAGGATTGTTCTGACATAACAAACGCGAACTGCCTGGCATAGGTCCGGATAAACAGCAGGCATTAAACAATTCAGTTTCCTTCATCATATAAGTAGTTTACAGTTAAGAATATAATGCAATGCAAAAGAATGGAAAGAACACTGAACTTGAAGCCAAAAGACTTGGGTTCAAATTCCAGCTGTTACTTCCTCTCTTAGGCAACTATTACTTATTAACCTCTCTAAGTTTGACAATTACAAAATGGGAGTAGTAACTTCTCTATTCCAGGATTATAATAATTAAATCAGATGACATACACTAAGTGCTTTAAAGTGTGAAGTACTATATAAAAAAACTAAGCATCACAACTTGAAAAAATCTACTGAGAATGTTTAAAAAATATACTATTTTTGAATATTCTGTAATGAAAGGTCTAATAAGTTGCCTACCCTATCATTGCAGGGTACTTTTAGCATAATAAATTTTACTATAATTTATAGAAAGTTACCACATAAAGCAGGATGCATAAAGTTTATGGATTCCCAGAGAAGTTGCTGTTATAAAGGGAATCAAAATAATCTGTTATTTTTCCTTAGGTATTCATACTTTCAAAGGACTCCAAAACGCTAAATGATAGCTTCATTCTTCCTCTAGAAAGAACTAAAAAGATTAAAGGAAAAATTATCTTCAAATACATTGCAAAATCATTTATACTCACTATAATATATTATTATTTTAAAAATCCTGTTATAGCATTTTAAATCTCTACCAAAGTAACTAGAATTCCAATACTTAAAAACCTGTGTTCATTGAACAATATACTTGATATAAGTGGGAGAAAATATATTCCCTGAAGGAGGAAAAACATATCCTTGAAATTCTGATTATCATGGGAGGGGAGTAGAGGACAGGCTCAATAAACCCATCCAAAATGCCAAAATCTAATATTAGAAATGGGGCAGACAGAAGCAGCTGAAGTTTTCCTGTTTCTTTCTCTTTTAAGATCTGGAGGTAGAAAGGTGTCAAAAAGAAACTTGGGGGATAGACATGCTTTTAATTATTAAGGAATCATAGCAGGGCATAGACATTACTCACTGCTCTTGCCTTTCTTTTGGTGAATGCCTCTGTTGCAAACCTCACTGATTAAGAAATTCTTTTCAGGTTAATTTTATTTTACTCTAGTGAGATTTGCCCTTAGAAGGAAACAATTCATATCATAGTCCTAGAAGCACATATCCATTTCCCCTCATTTAAGTTCTTAGCCTTTTTTCTCTCCTCTACTCATATATACACACACATAACTATCCTAAAGATTTTAAGAGTGGCTTTGAAGACTACCAGTTTCTCACTTCTCTAACCACAACCCACATCTCTTCACCTCTTCAGAGACCCCTTTTCTTCCCCATTCTCCGCCACATTAACATCTGGCTGGTTTTCTGTAAAAGATATTGGTGCCTTGAGAGGAAGTGTTATATAGAGTGTGTGAAAGAAAAGTAGAATTAGTGAAAGGCAATATTCTCTCAGCTCATGGTCAGTAAAGATACAACATTTTTGGGCTATGTGTATGAAAATGATATACATTTTCCTATACAGGAACACTATTTTTGTTTGATAAAAGTCTTAAACAGTTTTACGAGGCAAAAATGAAATAAAGAAAGAGAGGAAGGGAGGAAGAAAGAAGGAAAGAAAAAAAACAAGGAGAAAAATAATAAAAGGGCACAATTTTTCAACAGGGACAAGAAAAACCTGGCCCAAATTCACTACGTTCCAATGATGGTCCATGGTTGACTACCTAAGTAAACTACCAGCCCAAAGAAGGAGAACCAAAATCTTAACAATTTGCTTTTGAATGAGCAAGGGAAATATGTTTCATTGACTTTTAACGTGCTCATCATCAAGCAGGGAATCAGAGAGTATATATAATTACCTGGATATGCATTTTAATTATTGCTTTTCCAATCAGGGTTGCACCAAAGAAAGTCCAAAAAGGTACAAGAAAGTGTCCACATGTTATTCCAGCCAGATCAAACAGAGGATTTGGAATCTATAAAATAAATAAATAAATAAAATGAAATGGGACTTCCATATATCATCCAAAGAACAGTTTAATTTTACCACCTATAGGTATGTGGAATTCCACTGTAAGCCTTGCTTACACTGCAAAGAGAGGTATGGGTTTCCTGATCAGTACCAGACTGTTCAGAAGGTTAGGCAAGTATTCTGTCTCTATAAGTTGGGTGTCATATTCATCTTAGGCTGTTGTTCAATCTGTTCAAAGCAAACCCAGTTGTCCTTTTGCTTATATTACTTATGTCTCTAATGCCCCATAAATATACTTTTTCCGTAACATTAGAATTGGATAAAGCCAATGGATCCATGGGAATTTAATCCCATTCGGTAGATACTTGGCCATTTGGTAGCTGTTTTCTAAGGTGATGTATAAATGAAGAAAAAGCCTTAATTATTTCAGTGATTACTAGCGTTCTAAAAACTTTAGCCTGAAATAAGAATATTATCTAGAAAGTGCTCGTATCTATAGCAAACATTCTTGTTAATTCATAAATACATTTATAGGTGAATGTACTTTTATTTCTCAAGATAAAAAAATTTCATTATTTGTATTTTATTTTGTGAAAACTTAAGGCCGTGGGGCCGTGTGATATAATTTAGAAAGAAAATGAAGTGTGGAAATACGAGAGCTCAGATTCAGATGTTTTGAATACTCAGTCTCAGATAAAGAAGTTATTCAAAACAAATACCTTTTCCAAACATTCCTACATTTCAGGAACGCTAAAAGACAATTTTATGTAAAAATGCAAAGAAACTACAAGCTGTTTTTGAGGACTTCATCCATTTTTCTCCTATAGAAGTACTCTATCCTTGTGGCTATTGGCCAAACTATTTATAAGCTAATTAACTTATATAATTTCATTTTTGAACTTTCAAAGAAGAGCCTAGTTGTTTAGAAGATATTTGTCACATATGTTCTTTTAAAAACAATGCCATGACTAAATTAGAATTCAAGGATTCTTTCATTAATAACACAAGAATAGGATTCAGTAACTCAGTTTTTCTCATCCAAATTCAAATGCTTTATGCAATTTCATTTGTCTTACAACCATGTAATAACAACATCATTCGCACAGCCCTATATCTGTCATTATATTTTCTCATGTGACCCTGCAAACTCCATGAATTACAATTTGAATTGTTTTCTTTTATTATAAGGCTCTACCTCATGTCGAAATAAAAATTAGAGTATGTAAGATACGTAAATCAGAGTAGATAAAAATTAGACTATGTTAACATGCTGGACGCCTCAGTGTATGTTGGATATTCTCAGAAGAGCATATCAATGAATTTGTTGTTACAAGTGCATGTTATTCTTTTTTTTCAACTGCTAACTAAATACACAGAAAGGAAGATTAGAATTAAAAAAACTATTATTAAGTAGCTTTGAGATTTTTCCTTCAACTAGTTTTATTTATCTTAGTTTAAATGTTAACAACAAAATAACTAATTAATAAACTTCTTTTTATCTTAAATCAAGTATATAGAAATATAAGTATTAAAAATTTTCTAGAAAAAAGTTCCTAAAGGACCAAATTGCTATATCAATTTGTGTTAAATATTGACTATTCCTAGTCAAATATAAAGAAGACCAGCTAGTACAGAAAGTGGACTTTTAGCAGTTAGGATACAGGCATAGATGAGTGCCAAAGAATAAATAATTTCTGCTTTAATAAATCAAAGGTACTTGTACTTTCCCCAAGAATAATGAAAGCTAACTTTTATTGAATACTTTGACTTGTTAGATACTTTTCTAAGGTTTCTACATCATCAACTCAATCCCCCCCAAAATGCTATATGATACCATTATATCCATTTCACAAATAGGAAAAGTGAGACAGACAGGTTAAGCAATTTGTTCAGTATAAATGGCAGCAGAGCAGGATTTCAACTCAGGCAACGTGGCTTCCACACTTGTTCTCTTAGCCTTTAAGCTACGGACATTATTATCCATTAGGCCTCTCTGCTGGGCTTCCACAGCCCCTTTTTAACTAATCGTTATATTTTGTCTCCCTCACTAGACTTCAGGATCTTGAGGAAAAGGAATATACTTTTCGCTTCTTTATTCCAAGCACTCAGTGGTTGATACAAAACTAACGAATAACAATAAAGAATGATTGAGCA